AAGCAACAAGCTGATTCTGATACAGATCATTGGAATGGTGGCAAGACGTACATGAGCGATGATGAGGACGATGACAAGATGGCCACTTTGCTCGACCGCAACACTTCCTTCCTGATCAACATGAGCAAGACTGGGGGTTTTACAGTTCCTTGTTTTACTTTTTTGAGATGCCTTTTGTATTGGTGGGGTTTGATGTTCATTGAATTTTTCAAATGACATCCTGTGACATCTTTGGAAAGGATTTGTCACCACCAGTTCGCAAATACCTCCCTCCTGGAAATGTCTTTGAGCTACATCAATCCTATGTTGCTTGGTGCCATTCACATGGCGTACGGAGTGCTTCGCAAACCGGGTCAAATATTAGCAACATGTTCCACCATTTGTTCTCCATTAGGAATTCAAGTTTGATCTTATTACACAACAGGCCAGGTTTGCCCTTACCTTTTTGATTGCTGACTAGGTATCTCACCTTTCTTCGGCGATGGAATGAGAAGTGGACATCAATTCTCAAATTTCGTGATGCCAGCACATTCTCTCAGTGTGATGTCTGCCAGGAATTGAAGGCACAGTTCTTTGGAGTCTTTTTGAAGTAATCTTTTTTGTTTTTGACTTTTACCCTTTGAAACAAGAAAGAAGCCATAAATAAACACTCATACACATTGGTGGACGTGTGTATATTACACTGAAGGTTCAATGACCGCAAACTTGATATGGCAACACGGATGAACGCCTTGAAAGTCTATCAGCAGCATGTAACCGATCAGTATGCAGACCGTTGTGCATTCTGGTCCTTGAAGGACATCAGTGGTGAGCTGATGTCCCGCACTGTCACTTTGACAACAAACGGCGCCGACCAAGACTTTTGACTTAAACCAAGACATGATGTTGATGCTTTTCTACTACTCCATGCTTTTTGCGCACGTGACTGTGACTTTACTCAAGATACTAGTAAGTGGATTGTCCCACTGACACCTGAGGCCAAATACATGGTCCCACGCCACCCAGACCTCCGTGCTGCACACCGGGCTGCGAAGATCCAGCGTCCCAAACTGAAACTTCACGGGGTTTGGGCGTTTGGCTACTGTTTGCGCATCGCTGTCTTGGAGGAAAACTCCTTTCATGGAAGCTCCCTTGTTCAAGAACTACTTGCTTTGACCATTGAGGATGTCATGAATATTTGCAGACGTCAGCATCGTGCACCGCCAGATACTTTGGTGGTCTGCGGTGACAACACTGTAAACGAACTAAAGAACACTTACAACTTGGTGTTCGCAGCATCCATGGTCCTGCACCACAAATTCAGGCCTGGGTGGTCTAATTTGAACTTGGTTTTGCATTGCAATCACACCACCAAGCAAAAACTCTCGCCATGCTTCCAAGTTAGTACTTGCCAGGGCTTAAAATCTCTTGAGCATTGTTTGACTGGTTCCAAAGAACTGAGGTTCACAACACTGATGATGTTCAGGGTTGCACACACCCACGACGTGATAGGATCCTGGGCTGGAACTTGAGTTAAGTTTTGCCAAAGAATTGAAACCTAGTTTCGGAAAGATGCATGTGAACTTGGTTCAGCCTGCGCAGAAAACAACAGCTAAGATCAGCTGTGGGGATTGCTCTCCCGACGCCTGGGTGCATCCTCAAAACTCATCAGCACAGATTCAGCATGTGAGCTGATCAAAGAGGAGTTGTTGAAACCTGGGTTGAAGGACTTCATCAACGCAGATGTGCAAGTTCACACGATGCGCAATCATCGTGATTGGAAGTCTCACCATATACAACACTCACCTGTGAACTTTGAATCTTGAATTAAATTCAAGAAGATTTGGGGCTGATATTTCACAACCCTTGTTTGTTGCTGCTCAGAGTTTTTGGATTGACGTGTTGACAGGAAGGTGGCTTGCTGGTTGACAGAACGGCAAACCATTTCTTCATGTGTTGCATGCGCAAAGGCAGGGTTTGGAACGAAACATTCAAATGACAGTTGGTTTGGACAATAAATACTTTATGTTTTGCACAGGGTTTACAGCAGAGTCAGTTTGATCCTTTGCCCTGTGCTAGATCTTCCGGTTGGCATGGATGTGGATGAGGGCAGAATGAAGAATCGAGAGAAGCGACCTGATGACATTTTTATACTCGTTAAGGAGTACATTTGCAGCGTGCAGCTGGCACAGAACCCCCTCCTAGCTTTGCCTGCTGAAGCAAGGGAAACCTTTCCTATGACCACATCCCGTCACAAGCTTCAATAGAGCAAGCATATGTTGTTATATGTTGTTTAATGGTTTATGTTTGTTTTTCAGGTAAAGAAAGTTGCTAGTGTGTGTGTGTGCGTTTGCGGGCTGTGTGCCTCTCTCTGTCCCAGGTGAGATGCCGCCTCGGCCATTGCCAGACAAATTGGTCAGTGGTTGGCGTGAGCTTGCACGCATCTTTCGAACTTTGCTAGGCGGTGCTGAGTCCTGTGTACAAGCAGCCAATTACCTCGAGGCATTAGCAAATAATCAGCTTCCGACACATGATTTGCTCCCACTACGGTGGCTTGAGGGGCAAGCTCCTGTTGAAGTCTTGCCTGGTGAGCGTGCTGAAATGCACCCTTGTGTCCTTGCAGTGCTATCGCCAAGTGTCCCGCTGCGTGCAGTGTGGCGACGTGGAAGGTAAGCTACAACAACCAGCCAAAGGGTAAAGATGCTACAGTCCAATGAGATGCTACTGTCACCTGAGGTGTTGCTACTGCCTGTTCTTCTCTTAGAGATTGAAACTGGCCCACGTCATTCATCTTTGATCTGCAAAGCAAATCATGGCCTTCACCTCTAAACAAAAGGGTGAGATGAAAAACCTTGGAGGGAAACTTGGTAAAGCACGAAGTTTCCAGCTCTTTGCGTGTACATGGGCAACCAGTAACAAGGAGCAAAGAGAAGGGAGAGATAGAGAGAGTGAGAGATGACATGGATGGAGAAGGAAAGGGATACAAAGAAAGGGGGGGAGGGGAGATAGAACCAAAGAGAGGGAGAGAAAGAGGGAGACAGAAAGAGAGAGAGAGAGAGGGGGAGAGAGGGAGAGAGAGAGAGAGAGAGAGGGAGAGAGGAGAGGGAGAGGAGAGGAGAGGAGAGGAGAGGAGAGGAGAGGAGAGGAGAGTGTGAGAGATAGAGACTCGAATGGAGAGAGGGAGAGAGAGAGAGAGAGAGAGAGAAGCACAAAAGAAACAAACAAGCGTGTACTCTGAGGTCCTGAGGAGGGCTGGCAACACTATCAAGCAGTGAGGGCCATTTGGGCTTGGCCACAGGAACCGGAGTCCAGACTGAAAGAAAAGGAAATGTGGTGACGATGCCATGAGGTGCGTCAGAAGCATGGCACCCACGACGAAAACCATGCCAGCTAGCCGTCCCTATTTTCGTTGTAGCCTAGGTGCTGAACAACGACGATTTTATACAAATTTTATATACCCACGACAAAACGGACTTTTCAGAAAAATGAAGAATCGTTGTGGGTATATAAATTTTGTATAAAGTCTTTGTGGTCTAGCACCTGGACTACGACGAAAACCATACCAGCTAGCCGTCCTTATTGTTGTTGTGGGTCTCATGGTTTGTACGTAGTCACAAGCTGAACTTTGGGGTTCAATTTTCTTTGTGGTTGGGGTGCTGAACAACGACGAAATTTCTTGGATTTGGGCCCACCCACGACGAAATGTTTGGGGATCACAGCCCACCCACGACGAAAATTTTGGGGATCACAGCCCACCCACGATGATTTCTTGGGGTCTATGCTCACCAATGAAGTTGCCGCATTTTTTGCTGAAGGTTGTTTGTAGTTGGTCTTGTATAAGTATATACAATATAATATATGTATGTATGTATATATCTATATATATAATAGTCAAACTTTTTTGGGGGCGATGGAGTCACCAATGTTGCGTGCGATGGTTGAAGCCGCTTCGAACAATCTGAAGAGTAGTCCAACGAAAAAAGAAGAAGAGGGCAAGGTGAAGGCCAAGGAGGAAACACCCACGGTGCCTCAGCAAATTTCATTTGTGATTTGTCTTATTTCAATGTAGTAGCTTATCTTCAAAACACCAGGGCATCATCTCCCACTTGGTATGAAGGTTGCAAGTTGTAAGAGTCTTAGGATCCGTCAGCCAAGAAGCGCAAGAGCGATTGGCAAGCTGCATTGTCCAAGATGGTTGGTGATGTGGCTCTAACCAAAGTGCCTGAGATGTTCAATATTATTGTGACTAATTTTGATCCGGTGCCACTTGCTATTAGCTTTGGTACTATAGTGGTTTCTCTGGGACAACAATGCACGTTTCTACCTGCTGCAACCCCCTTGTGAGGATATCTTGGACTACCTGTCACAGTATACCGATGGCGGAGATGGGTTTGCAGAGGGCATGGAGCATCCATTGACCAACATGATGCAACACTTCAACAATCTAGAGAGCTCACAAGCTATGTGCGACAAGATACGTCATTTCTTGCAGGAAATGCACAAGTTACATGGAAAAAATGGAATTGGCCAGTGTTCCAGTTTCTAGGATCTGTCCAATATAATTATCTTTTTGTTTTTATCTTATCACTGTATGTTTTGGAAAGGTTTTTCAGTTTTCGCTTGATGTAGGAGGTATTAAGTTTACAAGCTAAAGATTTGACGCAGCTGAGCTCAACAAGGATTGCAGTGCTTTGGGCGAAGAACACATGATCACCCACCTGCCGTTAGATGCTTTGCTGGTGAAATGTCCTCCAGACGGACTGCCATGTATTTCAGACTTCACAACCGTCATTCTCTCGTACATATTCAGTGGATCACGGCTTCATCGAGAACCGCTGGATGTGATTTTCTGTGGCAAAGATGCATCTGGAGCAGCACAGTTTGAGATCAAGAAGGGCTTTACAAGATTGACTCTTGCTGAGCTTCACTTTATATTTTCCTCTTCTGTATTTGTAGTTGCTTGTTATTTCAGATCTTGTGGCGGGTAGTTTCAATTCAATCTGTTGCTCTTTGCTTTCAAGGACTGCTCCACTTCTTCTTGCTGTGATTGTGAGCGACCTTGATCCAATCAGCGGGAAGGCCTGTAAGTAGTATTTTGAGGAAAAGTATTGTTTTTCTTTGCGACCAGCCTTGGCAGGACTTGGCGCTGCCATTACTTCCAGCCATCAAAGATCTGTTCAACATTCCGCGCAGCATCGGTGGGAAATCAGATGCCGAGACTGTCAGTTTTGAGGCGATCCAGCTCTCTACCCAGGGAGCTGAGAGACAGAAAAAGGATGTTTTCTCAACTTCAATTGGTCAAATGTTTGGCAAGTTTTTCATTATGTGAACAAATGCAGCTATACATATACATATACATATTATACAGTATATATATATACACATAAAAATATATGTATGTCAATTAGATCAGCAGTGGAAAATCAAGCATTGTTTTGGTGTCCAGTTATTGTTGGTTATCCCAGGTTATGAAGGTTGCGGCACGATTCGAGAAACTCATCGAGGAGAGGCGCCACTCTGAGGACTGCAAGGACCTGAAGGACGATGAGATCTTAACATCCATCATCCAAAGGTACAACCAGTACAAAGCAAACAGTGCTTTGAAGCGGTGGCAAGTGTCGCCAGATCAGCATTCTGCAATAGCAGGAGTTATTTGGGGAATGTGTCCAGATGCAAAAGCACTTGTCAGACAACACCTGGACTACAACCGCTATGATGAAAGTGGCTTCTGGGACTGACAGGTATTATCAGCATTCTTTTCGGGTGTTTTGTTGTTGTTGTCGTCATTGCTACTCTTCTTCTTCGGGTTGCTGGTTTTGTTGTTGCTGATGGAGAGAGAGTGAAAAACTGTTCAATGAAGTGTTCACAAAAAGGTTACAATGAGTCCATCCTCAAGAGCAAGAGGCATCTGCTTCATCAGGTGGGGAAGAACACCCCAGCAGCATGGATTGATCGCCTCACTGCCCCTTGGTACTCTTCAGTGAATTTTGTGGTTGCTATGTCTACCTAATGTGTGTGTTAATAAGAGGATCCCCAAAAGATACCTTTGATAACTTTCAGGCTGGTACAAAACTGGTCTCAGCTTGCCCTACATCAGGTGACAGCAGAAGCTCAGATTTTACATTTTAAGCGGTACAACCTATGGTGGTCACAGAATGCTCGAAAGGTGAAGAAGACTCAGCGGAGTCGTTTGCGCTGGAGCGAGGACGCGTGGGCACGAAATGTAGACATGGCTTGTCTATGTGTGTGGGCGATTGAGGAAACCAAAAAGGACCCCAAAGAGACCTGTTTCAATTTAGCATTAATTTTGATACCGTAGATATGGGTATGTTTGTCATAGACTTGTTCAAGACACATCTTGTGTTTGTGCTCAGCTCTCAAGATTTAAGGTGACAGAGACTCAGATCCAAGATATGGTGAATGGCTTCCTGGCGGGGATCCCTGTGTTACAATCCCAAGCAGGTTGTTTTTTTTGGTGTGTTTTTGGTTTGTTCTTTGATTGGGGGCATGGTTTGGGTGTCGTTCAATGGTGTAAGTTTTGTCTATGAATAGTGTTTTTTTTCCAATCTCTGCCGTGCGAACCAGTGAACCAAGGGACTACGCACAGGATTTCGAAGCAATCCTACTCAGCAAACCCCAGCGGCTCTCCGTGCAGTCACTTGCAATTTGGCAAGACTATGTTGGCCGTGTGATTGCCAAAGGGGCAGCTTCAGTTGCACTGAACCGTGGGTTTATAACATTTGCTAGAACTTATGAGGTGAGTTATAAGTGTTATAACATTTACAGGCCCAAGTTATAACCACTTATACAATCATGTACATTATTGCTAAATTCATAAGTGGTTATGGTATACAAAAATAGTACTCAAAAGTGAAAACATGTGTATGCAAAAGTACTGATGTTTGTTTTTTATTCATACTAAGATGTATGCCAAACAGACTATCCTGCATATATATGGATTACAACCAAACACTACCTATAGGAAACAATGCTATTTCTCTAAAATATAATAACAAAATTTAGACAAAAAACAACAACAACTGTCAAATTGAAAACAAACAGCCTGCATATACTTTGCTGCGCACTTTTGCTGAACAACCACTTGTAAAGTTTGCCATGTCGCCCTTGCCATGTGCCCATGAAAGCTTCAAAGGTGTATGTTGTACTTTTGTTCAACATCAAAACCAAAAACATGCACAACATGTATTTCAAGCCATTTAGGCTTCATGAAAAGTTGCCACTTCATTGCTTACATAAACTGAATTATCATATCATTGTTTTCTCAACAAAAACATTTGCAAAGGTACTGTTAAATGTCCTGCTAAACCCTTGCAGTTTTGCAAGGGTCCAAGAAAGAGAT